GGAAGCTGTATCTTTCAAAAGTTATATTATTGTTGTGATATATTTTTAGAAATCTATTTTTGGAGAATTTTTCTTTTGGAAGGTGACCTTTTGGAATGTGGAACTTTGGAATGTAATATTGTGGTAATGATATTTTACTCATATGCTGGGATGTGAATTATTTGACATATTAGAAATATTATTTCAATTATAAGTGTGTACTCGAACTATGGATATATATTATTGAATTATAAATGTTATTTTTGCATGTTAAGCATTGTTTTAGATTTAAAAAGAGTATTTTTGAAGTATATAGATTTTTGAGATTATATTATGTACAAAAACCTATTTTCTCAAATTATATTATTTTACGGGGTTGGGTAGGTCTTACTTGGCTAAAAAGCTAATTTTGTTTCCTTTCTTTCTTTTGTTTTCTACACTTTAATTGTGCAGGTGATGAAGGTTATGCTTGATGATGAGAGCTGCGTTAGATTATGTAGTTTAGTATTAATAATCACCTAGTTATTGTTTATTTCGGTTTGAGAACATGAAGACATCTAATTTGTTTTCGTGATTTAAATCATTAAATACTTGGATTATTTTTTTTGGATGGTAGTTTAGTCTGTGCATTCGGTGAAGGGAGAGCCGGGTGTGGCGGTAACACCCCATTGAATACTAAGCTTCCGCTGCAATTTAAACTCTTTTGGATTAAATGTTTGGGAAATTCTTTCTACACTTGCTATAATTAGCATCTATTTTGGGTATAAATTTGGGGGTGTTACACTAAGGATTTAAATATTGCAAATATTGTTTTAATTCCTAAGAAAGATAAGCCAGAGAATGTGGGGGATTGGAGGCAAATAGCTCTGTGTAATGTAGCGCACAAAAGTTTGTCTAATGTTTTAGCTAATCCACTAAAAGGGTTTTTGGCTTTTCTAGTGTGGGGAAATCAAAGTGCATTTATATTGGGACGTTCAATAGTGGACAATGTTATGGTTGCATTTAAAATCCAACATTTTATTAAGAGAAAAAGTCATAGTGAAGAGGGTTTTGTGGCACTTAAATTAGATATGAGAACAGCTTATAACCGGGTGTGTTTGGGTCTCATCCAACAGTTGTCAAGTACGCTTGTCTTAAGTAAGCTTAACGACTTTGGAGACAAGCGTACTCTCATCCAACAATGAAAACACATATAAGTTTTGATTCCCCTAATCCAAGTATGTCCGGGTCTTCCTCTCTCTACTCCCCGCCTCTTCTTCTCACCTCACACATTGTTTAAGAGATGCATGACTCGGTTTTCTATGCACATGATCAAACCACCATAATTGTGACTCTTGCATCTTATCTTCTATAGGTTTTACTCACCTTTTGTCTGATTATCTCGTTCCTCAAGTAGTCTTTCTTGGTATGTCCACGCATCCAACGCAACATACACATCTCTGCAACACTCATCTTTTGAATGTGACACTGTTTCACCGCACAACACTCTACACCATACATTATTAATGCAGGACTAATTGATGTTCTAAAATTTACCTTTTAGTTTAGTCGACATACCTTGATCGCATAAAAATCCTAATGCACTATTCCATTTTATCCACCCTACTCGGATTCTATGTGATACATCTCCATCTAATTCGCCATCCTTTTGAATTATGGAGCCCAATTATCGAAACATATCAAACTGGTATCTCTTTTCCATCAAGAGTAATCCTAATAGTTACTACTACTTCTACCTCCACCAAACATGCGCTCCATATACTTAGTCTTGCTTTGGCTTAGTCTGAAACCCTTGATCTTCAAAGTTTGTCGTTATACTTCCAACTTTGCTTTAACACCCGATTGTGTCCCATCACTCAATACAATATCATCGGAAAACATCATACAAGATCCGCCTAGTTCCTTGAATAAAATTTTTTTTTGTAAATTCTCAGTTCTAGTTTTTTTTTGTCTAAGGGCTTTAGTCTTTGTTTTTGCGAGGTGATGTTTTTCCAGTCAGAACAAGATAAGTAACGAGGATTCTGGATCCATCATTGTTGACTTACAAATGTATGTGTTGGAATCAATGACATATATTGATTCAGAGAGGGTAATTGGCTCACATGTCCGGTCCAATGGTTTATGACCGAACTCTGATTTCTAGTCTTGCAAACGTTTTCCTGGTTTCTGGTATATATATTACATGCCTAGTTTTTTAATTTTAATATAAGTCACGACAGTGTGGCGCAGCGCGACGACGTTGATTTCACCGGTTCTCTCACGTTAGGGTTAGGAATATCCCAATCATGAGACACTATGTTCCTGGAAGTTTATTCTTCATTCTTTGCTATAGGACAACTGTTGAGGTGGAGTCGCATAGATAAAAAAACGGGAGTAAGGCGAGCTGCTCTGTGGTGGCTCGCCTAGTACAAGATTGATGTCATCATAGGGTTATCAAGAGGCAGGAGAGACGTTGGAGCTTTAGAAGCCAACTATAGTTATTTTTCCATGTCTTAATTTTATTATGTTTCTTCAATACTCTGTTTTTATTTTTTCGTGTCAAAACTAATGGAGAGGGTAGTTGTTTGATCAGGCTTATATGGCCGATTTCTGCTTCGAATATCTCGCATGTTCAACAATTAGTCTTGCTCAATTTCGGGCAATTTATTCTATGTCTAATCATAGAGTTAGAGAATCTATTGATTTTCATGATCTTAGAAAAAGTGTCTGGTTAAATGTCGAGTATTGATTATCATTTTGTTATCTTAATATAAACATTATCTTTTCAAATAAAGTATAAGCCATTTAATTTAAATAAATAAAAAAACATCCTTTTTGAGTGATAGGGATCTTGTTGAGTGATACATATTGCTTTTTTTGAGCTCTCATTCAAATCATACAATAATTTATTTTGGAGTGAGTGCTACAGACCTCACAGATAGGTAGGGATGGACGGGGACAGGCCTACCCAGCCTACTACTGTGCAAGTCCGGCCCGGGCCTAGCGGTCAACAATTCCAAAAACAATTGCTTTAAATCCTTTGGGTTGGTGCTAACCGACCCGACCCAATCCCATTATGGGTGGACTCGGTTCGGGCCTTGAACCGGCCGGGCCACCCGGGTTATAATTTTTTTTTTTGCTTCTCTTATTTAACCCCCTATCCCCCCCCTCAACCCCAAAGCACCCCAAACCACCTCAAATGGTCCAAAATACCTAATCCAACCCAAAACTTAAAAAAATTCAAAAAAAAAAAAAATCCGGCCCGGACCGGGCCCGAACCGGCCGGGCCGGTTCACCAAATGGAGGGCCCGGGCCCGGAACCGGTATCCACCGGGCTGGTTCGACCCGAACCGCCGTTGGACCGGGCCACCGGGCCGGGCCGGTTGCTACACTGGGCGGGCCGGGCCGGTTCCGGGCCGGGCCACCCGGCCCGAGTCCACCCCTAAGTCCCATTCCAAAGCCCAACTGGGTAGCCCGACTCGGTACCGGTACAAACCCTGGCCAGTACCGGGACTGAAATCCTAAACCCGAAGCCCGCCCAGTCCCGTCCCGAAGCCGACCCGATCCCATCCCAATCCACCCCTTCTAACATGTGAGACAGAGAGTAGTAGAGTACGGAGTACCATATGATTGATCCATATCATTATTTCATTATTCATTTATATTTGAACTAATCTAACCACAATTATATACGGATTAGTGTTCATTAGTGGTCTACCCCTTATTTCGACGTCCCCAGTTCAGTTTACTACCGTAGAGGACTAATGGTAAACCCAACTCATCCCCCTTATACGAATATATATTAGCAATTGCAATTTACATATAAAATCCCATGCTAGAAATTCTATCGACTCAAATTCTAATTCGAATATGATAAAAGTTCATTATATAATATTAGGAATTAAAAGTAAGTCCTTCCAAAAAAAGGAATTAAAAGAAAGTCAAGTTAACTGTGAATAGTTTATGAACACTTCGAACTAGGACTGAGGTAATGTTACTACTTACTTTGGCCCACTCATTTCTCCATATATAGTACTCCCTCCGTCCCGCTATGATTGTCTCATTTTACCATTTCGGTCCGTCCCACTAAGATTGTCCCATTCCTTATTTGACAAAGTTTGTGTGGTTCTAAACCATTCCTACTTTATTCTTACTTTATCAATTCAATATCAACCACATAGAGCCACTTTTATTAATAACCGCGTCACCTTCTCTTGTCCCAAACTTAGGGGGGCGGAGGTAGTACAAAATAGGACATAAAATTGGATGTTCCAAATAGGGATACTAATTTTGAGAAGAAATATTTGAATCAAAAATTATGCACGGTAGCAACAATCAATGGTGACTAATAAGTAATAAATAGTGATGGCACCGGCACCGGCACCAACAATCACCAAAGCGGCAATGGCGAATTAGCAGCCGATAGCCCGATAGCAGTGGTGAACTGGTGGGTTGGTGACACTAATGTGAAGGCCATATATATGGTAGATAGGCAATCATAGGATCGCTGAATGTGATTATACTGAATTAGGCCATATGTATGGCTTTGGTTGGGTAATCATTCTTCGAATCCGTTTCAAATTGAACCGGACCGAAAACCAATAAAACTAAACCGAAATCGATATGTCCACCCCTTATTAGGAGTATTGAACTTGGTATCTTTTCATTTTGTTGTCACCAAAACGGCAAAACGTAATCATATTGAACTTTGTGCACCACACCATCCACAATGGAGATACTTTTACATAAAAAAAACTTACACCTTCACTGACTGATAGAATGAATCTACAAAGCAAAAGACCACAACAACAAATGACCCTATGTGAATTAGTCCATTCTACTGTTCTAATTTTCAACATGCCTACCGCCCTACCCTAGTTGGTAGACATTTCAACTGTCATGAAGTATTTCGACTCCCCAACTACCTCTACATTGATAACTAATCACTTAACATGTTATAAATTTTAAATAATAATAAAATTTATGTATATTTATTATGCTTTTTATGAATAAATAAAATTTATGTATATATATATACAAATAAAAAATAATACAAATTTATGTATATATATATACAAACATATATAGTTTTTATCTTACTTTACAAGTATCTTTCTTCATATCCGTGATTAAAGTTAAAGGTACATATATCTCTTACAAAAAGAAAAATAAAAATAAAAAATTGTTTGATGAATCTAGACACCCTAGGCGGAGATTAGGCACTTTGGGCGGGCAACTAGGCGCCATAGGCGGCCGACTAATTCACCTAAGCGTCAAACCAATTAGTCGGAGCGCCTAGACAAAAATCGGGGTGCCCGACCACCGCCTAGCGCCTAGGCAGGGACTAGTCGGGCGCCTAGAGCGACTTTTAGAACAGTGCCTCTACCTATTCAATGGTTCTATACATCCTTATTTCCAGCTTTCCATGTTGAAAAATTGGTCTTAAAATCCACAACCCTTATCGGACAAACTTTGCTGTCCACGACTGAAGTATTTTTTTACATTTTTACACTGTTTAAGGTGGTCTGCCTAAGAGGTGTCATCAAAGTTAACCCTCTCTCCTGTAGAAAAGACATTGTAGAAGATAGCAGCACAAAAATAGAGAAAAGATGTGAGCACTAAAAATCCTTTGAAAGAACCAACTAACTCGACGAAGAAGCCAGCACCAACAGTTCCTATTATGGCGGCAAGTGTACCAGCAGTGTTTGACATACCTATGTAACATGAAAATCAGCAAGATTAGGGGTTGTTTGGTGAATATTATGTCACAGAAATGAGGGAGCCTGCAGAATTTTCCAAGTAAAAAAGCTTAAAATTGCTTTCAGCCAAATTAGTAATGTGTCTGGTACTACTAAATTGATAAGTGATTTAAGAACCGAGTGATTATGTTACCAAAGGGGGAGATCCTAGAGTGCACTGAGTGCATTAGTTAGTTTAACACCATTGATTCACGGAGTATGATACTATCATGATATAACTATCATCAGAGCAAATCGTGAGAGCATCTGGACTATTAATGAGATAAGTCAATAAATAATTAATTAACCTATCAATGGTCTAGATACTCTCTATATCTACTGAGATCATGAGAGGATCCAAAGCTTGAGTCACACATTGTGACTGTGTTAGCGTGAGTGTCTGTGTGTGGAGAGAGCGAGAGATAGTCTACTTACCATGCAGAACACCTGAATATTGGGGGGCGATTTCCTGGTTAAGAGATAAGATAAAAAGAGAATAATGTAATGTGGGTTTTGCTGCTCATTGGATTATATAGAATACAGATTGGATGAATCTGCTAACCTGAAGGTTTACCAGGAAACCACAGTGACTGAATGCTTTCAACCCAACAGCTAAAGTAAGCCAAGCTGATGCTATTGTTGGAGTTGGAGCCGTAGTTAAACCAACAAGAGCAACCCCGGGCCCAAAGAACCCAATTGACTACAAAGAGAAAAAACAGATAAAAATCAAATAATAGATGTCTTAGAAGATAAAAACAGTTTCTGAAATGACAAGATCAAACAGTCCCTTTGGAACTTGGGAAAGAAAATACGGAAGAAATTATATACTACGGGTACAACAAATTTGGAAGGAAACAAATTGTGAAGCAGGAAATTTCGAAGGAAATGTACTTTATTGGGAAATAAAAGAAGCACTTCAAACTCCATAAATCAATTTTAGATATTTGTTCAAACTCATTTCATTCAACTATTCAAGTATATATATTAAAGGGAAAATCGCACTTTTAGTCTCTGAAATAGTCACCATATTGAAATGTCAGACTCAACCCAGTTTGTAAATGTCAACCCCTCAATTGTCCAAATTGCTGTAAATGTGGTCCTTTGAGAGGTGAAATGTACACTGTGAGCGAGGAGTACATTTCACCCCTCAAAGGACCACATTACAGCAATTTGGACAATTGAGGGGTGACATTTACAATCTCAGAAATATGGGTCTGACATTTCAATATGGTGACTATCTCAAGGACTAAAAGTGCGATTTTCCCTATATTAAATAAGAGCAAGAAGTCTGAATATATATATACAGTTTAGCTTTTAAGAAGTTCTAGCCAAATATGATTTTGGAAAAATTGAAAATAATAATCCCAACTATTGCTGGTCCGCTGAAAATAATCTCAACTATTGATTATTTTTGTATAATCCCAACTATATAGACTATCCGCCAATAATGGTCCATGACGAGACATTACCTCTATAAAAAGTGAATTTTAAATAGAAATTAAGCGTAAAAATTAAAAGTTGAGATTATTTATAGGGATTAGTTGTTATATCTCATCTCATCCACTTTAGAAACTACAAGAATTTATTCATAGGGACCATTATTGGCGGAAGGTCCCTAAAGTTGGGATTATTCTGGAATAATCAATAGTTGGGATTATTATGAGCGGACCGTCAATAGTTGGGATTATTACTATCAATTTTTCCTATGATGTTCCTGCGTATTTACCAAGGTATCAAAACACTTCCCTTCATATTTTCTTCCTTTCTCTACCATTTCCCAAGTTCCAGACATTGCTTTGATGTTCAGAAACAATTATTTTGTAGAACATAGATAGAAGATGATCATACTTGCATGACTTTGCGCGTTACTGTAATGCTTTTACCGTTTTGGATCATCCAATCAGATAAAACACCAGCAACATAGCCCATTAATGCCATCATACTCCACGGGACCGCACTAAACCACGCTGCTTGTCTGAGATCAACACGGTATATCTACAAACAAAAATAGTTGATGTAAATTAATGCTATGATCATCTGCAAATTATTCCAAATGGATTCGCCAAACAAAATTATCTACTACTTCTTACAGTTCTGAAGTAAATTGGCATCCACGAAAGTATGACGAAAAATCCCTGCATTAACATAAACAGATGAAACATGGACCGATGAAAGCGTCTCTATTATATATGCAATACATTGATATTTCAGGCCAGCTTGGTAAGGGTTACTTGGCTGAAAATGGTCGAATGTGATGAGTTTTCTGAAAGGAAAAATGTTTGGTGAAACTGACTCAGCCCAATAAGAAAGTCAAGGCTTTATTCTGTTTATTTTGATTAATCTGCTTATGCTTCTAATAAGAACTAAGCCAAATAAGCTCATTAATGCTACCAAACGTGACTTAAATGCTCACAAGTATCGATCATATAGAAAGTTCATACTACCTCCGTCCCCCTAAGTTTGGGACAAGAGAAGGTGGCACGGTTATTAATAAAAGTGGATTTATGTGGTTTGTATTGAATTGATAAAGTAAGAATAAAGTAGGAATGATTTAGAACCACACAAACTTTACCAAATAAGGTATGAGACAATCTTAGTGGGACGGACCGAAAAGGTAAAACGGGACAATCATAGCGGGACGGAGGGAGTATGTTTTAAGCAGCACTATTTGCAACAGGTACTAATAAGAAAACTTATGTATTACCCAGCTATGCATGCAATTTGCAACAATTAGAGACCATGTTGGTGGCTTAGATAGCAGGCGCCTGAAAGGTGGGATCACTTTGGCGGTTTTCATTTTACTGTTAAATGCAGAATGGTTGAGCCCATTGTGCTGTATGTAACACAGTTCTTGTGCTGAAATTTGATTGCTCTGCTCAGGTGTACTGGAAATTGCAGATACCCAAACCAAGACCCAAAGTAAGCCAGATAGACCAAATATGACAAATGGTCCAAATAGACCACCTTGTGACATGAGAATTGGAGAAAGTGTGAGCCCAATAGCACTTCCAAGCTGAAACCCAGCCATTGCAAGCGCTACAGCCCTTGATCGTTCTGTCCGAGGAAACCATCTGATGAAAAAGTAGTGTGGTAAAACATGTTGAAGTTATCAAGCTTCTATAATTTTTAGAACAAAACATAAAGATACATAATAGTCCCACAAAAAGGGATACTTTCTCTGTCCCAAAAAAGTCATGTTTGAGTAACTTAAAACTTATATTTAGTCAACTTAATCAAGGTACAGGCTTTTACAAGTAATGAATGACCACTTATACCTGTAAATTCACTACCAGGATCTCATGAGTAAAGAATAATCAATAATGAAAACCACTTCTACTTGGCTTTAAATGAAGTTGACTATACATTGATCTTTGTTTAGGACATAAAAGTTCCTGAAACAGAACTCCTTCTAGGGGACGGAGTTTCATATTAGTGCTATGGAATGATTCAATAACCATTACTGAATGTGAGCACGTTAATACTAGATTATGAGCCTGTTTGGTAAGACAAAAGAGATCAAATATGCTGAAGTTATGGCTGGATTGGCTGAGTCTATTGAATTGTTAAAAATTATACTAGTATTTGAAATACACGCAGTATTTTATTACCAAAGTTCAGATATAAATAAATGGAAAAGGCTGTCAATTTCCTCTTAAGACAAAAAAAGTACCTCGAAATTTACATTTTTCCATTATTAACTAGTTGGAAAAAATGGCTGATAAGGCTGATGAGCCAAAAAACAGGTTTACCAAATGGATACTAAGATCACTTGGTGAAAGTAAGATCATAGGAATGAGGGCGGGACACAAAAGGCTCTTGTTTAAGTGTCCATTGGGCAATTGATCTTCCTCCAAGCAGGAGGGGTGCATCAACTCTGCACTATAAGGGCTTGACATTAATGTCAACAAATATTATCTGGTGATTATACCTTGCAATCATACTGTTCATGCAGGGAAGAGCTACACCTTCTGCTATGCCAAGCAACATCCGCATAAAAAGTAGTGCCCACAAGGAAACACCAACAGACCAAGGAGTTAGGAAAGTTGCTAAAGACCATAGTGTCACACCCCATGTTAAAACTACCTTTCCGCCAAAATAATCCACCAGCGTCCCTCCGGCAATTGGCGATATCAGGTAACCCCATAGAAAAGATGACTGCAATTACTAACTAGACTCATCAATCAAACAATTAACTAACAAATCACACATGCTCGAATGAGGCATGAGTTAATGCCTTTTTCTACATAAATGTTGTCAAAGAAATAGTTGTGAATAACCTAATGTCTCTCTTAAGTCTTACTTGATCCAAAATACCTGTTATTCTGTTAACCACCCTTTAGGATATATTACGTATATATCAATTTCTCTATTGAACTATTATTGAATGATGATCACCAATCCCAGACGTTCGGAAAGTAGAATTACACTGGTAATGCTATCATATTTTCTCATTTGATGCTTCCAACTATTTAACCTATTCCCAGTGTGGCAACTGGGTATGTTTGCATTGATTTGGTTTGGTGTACTTCCAAATAAAACCTCCATGGAACTATGGAAGCATCAATTACAATGTAGAGCCCAAAGGAAAGAATCAGTTCCGGCAAAAGTTCAAACTTAGGAATCTAGTGCCAAGAGCATTTGTTTTAATGTTGAAATACAAACTCGATTTTGAAATACGCATTTTTAAGCAATACACAAAGCATTCCTTTCATAGTTTGGTATTGCTGCTTTGTTACCAGAATGCAAGTTCATTCGACTTATAAATGGCCTTATTCCATCAAACACACAGCCAGACACATACAAAATTATTTCAATCATTTTAGAATTTAGATAAACAAAAAATAAACACTAAACAAATGCACAAATATATGCATACATATATATTCAAGAGGGTGAACTAAATAATTGCATAGATATATCATATATGTATAGTTACATACACAACCGTATATATACATAAACACTCATATATACATTCTTATGCCCCTTAACAAAGTGTAAGTTGTGGGGTTGATGTTTGTGCAAAGAAAAGAAAACTAATATAGACCACAAATTTTCTTCCTTAAATGGAAAGTGACAAACTTTCTTGAGAACCAAATAAGGCAAGTTGGGACAAAAATAGGAGCGGTAAGAGTAAACTCACTACTTTCTATTTTTAGCAACTGCTAAAAATAAAGATGTGACCCTCACAACATAAATGATAGTGAAATTTTAGTGTGACCCACACAACAAAAGATGGGACAAAAATAGGAGTGGTAAGAGTAAACTCACTACTATCATCTAAAAAATGATAGTGAAATTTTAAGGTGTGACACTCAAAACATAAATTAAGATGTGACCCCACTAACCTACCATTTCTGACTGTTTCCTACTGTTGCCTACCGTTTCATCTTTCTCATTCCCTACTTTTTTTCACTCTGCTATGTAAATGTAAATGTATATGTATCCTTGCTCTTTGTTTTTCCTACATAATTCACTGCACTTACCATTTTCTAGTGAAAAAACTTAAAGGTGTAACAGAAAGGCCTAAAGGAGACGCTGGATTATTTGAATTCTTTCTTTTTTCATCCAAAATTAGAACCTGGTTCCGTTTCCTGTCGTAAACTCCAAGTCAAAATGGCTAATACTTCGTAGTTTAGAAATTGGGGATCGTAGAAGAAGTGAAAATGAATGTGACCTGAACAATGCCGGCGAATGATTGACGCCAACCATAAGATACTGATATGGGAACAATAGCCACGGACATTACCACCCTGTCGGCGTTACATAAAGCCAGAGACAATGCTAACATAGCCACCACTTTCAGTCTCTCTGAAGTAATGAACTCCATGAAACTCGGTTCCTGCCCTCCTTCTCCTTCTACGAAAGGACCGCTACCAACAGGTCGAGAATCGTTCGGAGAAGCTTTAATTGGGGACAATTGGAATCTCCGAGATGAGCATTCGCAACTTTTAACAGTAAAGCACTGAGAGAAGCTCTGGTTGGCTGAGCGCGGCGGTAACTTGTGATTTAATAAAGACCGTTTGGAGGGCTTAAGATTTATAATGCGGGGAACTGTGGCTGCACGGTGGAGACTGGCGGCCGGAGAAAACATGACGAAAGCGTTTGTAGTCTCTTTAGACTTTAGAAGATCATGTTAGGCCTGGGTTTTGGAGTTCACAGGGAGGTTACCGGCTTGCCGGCGAAGAGGCAGCCAAATCGTCAATTGCAACCAAACGACAGCGTTCCTTATCGCCCAATATGCCCTGTTTTTGCAAAATAGGCCAGATACGAAGATACGAACTACGGAGTATATGATTTATGTTTGGGAATACCGTCAAATTAGTCGTATATCAAAAAAGTCAATTAAACCTTCGAAGTAAATAAACATCCAATTAAACCTTTGAATTATATAAAAACAGTCAATGTTACTCGTATATTTTAATGGGTTACTTCCCGTTAGCAGGTCATTTTTAAAAGGACGAAGTGTCAGTTTGGTACATGAACTTGGGAGCGGGGAGTAAAGAGTACATCAACCTCCAATTGGGACCCACCGGTACACTAAATTTCCAAAACGGGTCTAATTTAGTCCTACCGGGTATTAGGAATACTAAAATGCTGAGCTGGCCATTGGATTAGTGAGTTGGGCTAAAAATTAGCTAGGAAGATGTACTTTGTCCTCATGCCACCGGAAATGGAGGGGATTCCGTCGTCATCTCAGAGCATTTCGTCCAGAGGTTTACCAGATTTCCCTACTGGCTATGGCGAGAGAATCCAACAGACCCCGACAGCGGACGGCGCGTTGCCGTTGATGCTGAGAACTGAAACTACCGTGATTGACGCAGCTCAAGAACCCTTCGATCAAAGACGCTCCAAGATGAGCTCCGCCTCTTTGATCGAAGGGTTCTTGAGCTGCGTCAATCACGGTAGTTTCAGTTCTCAGCATCAACGGCAACGCGCCGTCCGCTGTCGGGGTCTGTTGGATTCTCTCGCCATAGCCAGTAGGGAAATCTGGTAAACCTCTGGACGAAATGCTCTGAGATGACGACGGAATCCCCTCCATTTCCGGTGGCATGAGGACAAAGTACATCTTCCTAGCTAATTTTTAGCCCAACTCACTAATCCAATGGCCAGCTCAGCATTTTAGCATTCCTAATACCCGGTAGGACTAAATTAGACCCGTTTTGGCAATTTAGTGTACCGGTGGATCCAAATTGTAGGTTGATGTACTCTTTACTCCCCCGCTCCCAAGTTCATGTACCACACTGACACTTTCCTCTTTTTAAATTAAAAGCTGGCAGTCCAGGTGGTGTTTTCAAAGGTTTTATCCTTTCTTTTATTTTTCCCCTGCTCTTTCTTCTTAGCCCTCTCCGACCACCCAATTCTTCCTTATTCTTTTTCACCGGCCAGTTAAACAGCCCACCAACCGCCTTCCTTCAGCAACATAACCCAAATCAACAGAGAGAGCACTCGGAATGAAAACCATCAATCCTTATGGTTGCTTGTTTTGTGGGACCCGAGCTACTATACCAAATACCAATAGCTTCGGCAGGTGCTGAGCTTGGTGAGGCATCTCTCGTACCTTGCCACGGCTACACCATTTCTGCGGCCGGAAAACATTGCCTTCGCCAGGGGAGATGCCCGCCGGAATAAAGAAAAATGAAGAGGTTGTTCAAATCCAATCATAGGACCCCGTTGGTGTTGTTCGTTAGATTTATTATCTCCTCATCGATGCCGAAAGCGGGGCGGGCGGGCTGATGTAGAAGAACAAGGAAGGAGGGGGGTGGGTCGGGCTAGGCTGAAGAAGAAGAGGAGGAAGGGTGAGGAGCGAGCGGGCTGACGAAGAAGAATATGGGAAGAAGGGTTGGGCGGACTGGGAGGAGAAGAAGGTAGCAAGAGAAATAAAAAGAAATGCAAAAGAGAAAAGAAATGCCATGTAAAAAAATGACCGGCTAACCTAGAGTAAACCTACTTAATTACAAAATTGATCGTTTTTATATAGTTCATGGGTTTAATTGGGTGTTTGTTTAGTTCGAGAGTTTAATTGACTTTCTTTGATATACTTCGAGTGCTAATTTGACAGTTTTCCCTTTATGTTTCGCAACAAAAATACAAATACGTACACCTTTTAAATTAGGGGTGGACATATTGTGTGCTTTAACCGAATCAAATCGTATCAAACCAAATTAAATCAAATTAATATCGGATCATATGCAATTTGGTTTGAGTTTAATAGTATTTCTTTCAAACTATATTGAACCGAACTGAAACCGATAAAAACTAAACCGAACTAAAGAAATTCACTAAAACCTTCATATATTATTAAAAATACCAACTCCGAACCGAACCAAACTGAACTAAACCGAACCGAACCAAATTGAAAAATAGTATGATTTTTGTTTGGTACTAATTCTCCCAACCCGTTCCAAATCGAACTGAACCAAAACCGATATGCCCGCCCCTATTTTGAATATTGAATAATTTTAAAATACGGCATATAAAATACTTGTATGTGTTTACATACACTAAGAGCCCGTTTGGTGACTTTGCTTATCGGCTTATCAGGCTTATCAACCAACTTTTTAAGCAAACACGTAACATTTGATTTCATGCGTTGAATTGTGTAATAATAAGAAAAAGTAAGGTTGAAGTTATTTTTCTAACTTTAATAGATGAAGTTACTGTAGATGACCATTTTAGGTATATTTTCATATAATTTTTTCTTTATTTTATTAGTAAAATATATTTTAAATACTCCGTATAATTTATTCATAAATCAGCATAATCAACCAATGTACTCACTTCAGTCAGAACTTCATAAATTTCAGCCAGAATCAACCGATTTAGTCGATTTCAGTGTTACCTAATAGACTCTAAATTATTGGTAGAAAGAAATGATTAATTAATGTTTCAACCTTTTTCTATAATTTAAGATGCAATTTTCTCCACAAAAGAAATACGAAGTAAATATTCCTCATTTAATAGTTAAAATATCTAATCTAAGACTTATAATCCTCAATGAGAGTAATCTAAGACTTATAATCCTCAATGAGAGTAAGGGCATTTTAGAGATGAAAATTGTGTTGGTGTAATCACTTGCTTTATTAGGTGGTACATTGTGCTTGAGCGTGTGTACTCTTTTTCAAGGAACTAAATTTTTCGTTTAATTTTCATTACTAGCTCCCGTCTATTGCACCTAAACCGTTTCGTAAACCGTTTCATACACCTCCCACTGCTTTCGAATCTCTACAGCACCTAACCCTGGTTTCGGGCACAGAAGGTCTCATCCGCGCCCTAAACACACTGCGCTAGCTCTCATCGTTTCCCTCTTCTTGGGTCAACTATCCAGGTTTGTTTCCATGCCGTTTGTCCGAATTTTTTCACTTATGCTCATCTCCTTCCTCATTAATACTCCATATTATGGAATGATGAAATACATATCGGAGTATTATTTTGAGGGTCTAATTAATGGGTCCTAGGAACATTAAGTTAAATTAATAAATTGGAATGGTAGTAATTGGTGATTGAGAATTTGATAGTCATACAAAATATTACACTTAGGATGATTGAACAATGAGGGGAAAGTCGGGGATATGTATTACGAAGTAGTATTCTTCATGTATAACTTGGATTTCCTTTTATAAGTAACAAATTCAGAGAAGTTGTGGCTGGATGTAAATGAACTGAAATTCAAAAGCTATGGTTCGGACATTATGTTAAAAACTATTAGTGCAGTTAAAGTTTTTGGATAAGTTGGATATCAAATTATTTGCTAGGTTTAAAAACACAAAGTTGGTTTTTGTTTTAATGAGGAAATTGGTAACAGTTGATATTTTCTAAAATAACAGGGCTATAAAAATGAATCAATTAAGAAGTCTATTTTTTTAATTGCAACTCTCCTACAGCATTTTATAAGAGTTTTCAATGAATTTGAAATTCTTTTTTTTTATCATCCTATCCTTTTCGTTTAACTGTAGTTTAAAAAAAACTAAAAAGGTACGTAATAAGTTCTACCAAACAAAGGCTGCGTAGAAACAAGCTAGATCAGCTACGTGGTTATTAATTTCTTTGGATACAGGAGTGTATTCTGTTCAAGTTTTTAAAGAATTAACCGGGCTTTCATTATCTTTCACTATTTTAGCACAGTTCCGAAAGATTTACAAGATTTGCTATTCTTTTCCTCGCATTTTAGGTTGCTACAGAATTTCCAGAAAATGCTCTTGTACATCAACCCCCACTGCTCAAGTATATTGTCTCATCTAAGGTTTGTAGCTCAGTGCTTTTGTTTGTTTTGAATTTCGGTGTACATTTTTTCATTATTCTCATTTACAGCTAAACTTAGTAAATGTAAAACATCAACATTACTCCAATTGGCATCACAACTGGATACTGTTCTGTTTGACTCCTGTTTCAATTGATGTTAAAGCATTGAATTATGTGTTTTGTTGGAGTAATATGTTCATTATTTTCCTGGCTTCCAGCTGAATTAACTTGAAAACTTTATCCTTGCAGATCAAAACCTCTGCTCAGTTGGACGCTGCGTTCGGGTTTCTTATGTCCAATGCTTCTGAGACTTTGAAGGTCAATGAATTTGCGGAAGCTTGTGGTGTTTGTATGAAAACAGCTTATGTTATTTTTGTCAAGCCTTTGCATTATTATTCTTTTTACAGACTAAAGATTTCCTAAGAAATGAGAAACAAAATACCTACTTATTACTCCATTTCTCCATTATAAGGTCCAGTTACCTTGATTTAGTTATCCAATCCACAATTACTTGTAGTTCATCTTTATAGTGCTTGTTATATTCTTTGGAAATATTTCATATCTGAAAATTTGAACAGGAGTTGAAGTGTCCATGGAAGACATAGAGCTTATTGTTGATGATATTTTTGTAGAAAACAAGCCTAAGATTTTGGAGCTGCGGTATATAATAAATGGTTTGTATTTCTTGTTGTGATAATACCATATGCGAAGTAGTGCAGGATGCAGCAATATGCTTACTTATGCAATTTCATAAACACCTACCATGTTTTATAATAATAGTAGAATGGAATGAAAATTAAACTACTTTGTTCATTAATCTGTTACGTACATGATTTGTAGTTTTGTACTATGTAAATGAAGAGAGGGCAATGACCTAGCCAAGGTTGGTAAGTTAGTTATAGTTATATTTCATAAACTAAGTGTGACGAAGTTTATTTCTCCCCTGAAAATTTCATTTCCTTAATCTTTTTTTTAATAAAAAAAATAATAGTAAACACCCTCCCCATGATGGAGCTGAATAA